GAAATGAGTGCCATATTCGTAATGAGCATCCCCAAATACCTCGAAAAGGATACCCATATAGCATATTTTGAAAAATCGTGTCCGCCATCTTGGATTTACAAATAAGTGCTATATTCGTTTTTCATCGACAAAACCGACCATATCTGTAGGCACCTGATCGACATTGTCGATCGACAGTAACGATCGACAAAATCGAGCACATCTGTAGGCACCTGATCGACAATGTCGGGCAAATCTGTAGGCACCTTCAACTTAATGATGAGTTAAGCAAGATACAATTTCCCCACTTTTGAGGGAAATGTTATTCCATGGCATTATTATTTGTATATTTGTGTGCGTGCCGACGAGCGTAGTTACAAGTTGCTTACGCCTACATGAATTTGGTTTTTGCCTCACTTGTGACAGTTCGTTTGATATGAAACTATCATTCTATGCGTTATTATTCTAAGGGGTCTGACCTGATGCGGAACACATTTTGAAAGTGTCGGTACCTTTTATGTTCACCTAATCCATCCGTCCATTACTTCTCTGCATAATTTTTACCTACTCGCCCTTTGTTGATGAGGCGAAGGATGTATGTCAAGACCGTAGCAAGTAGAAGACTATTGTCTCCGTCTACCCCGACAGGAAAAAGGCGTGAAGTATATGTATGTATGTACTCGCCCTTTGTCTGGTTAAAAAATTACGCCAAAAGATAGACAGTTTAAATGTGTTTCGGCCATCTTGGAAAATTGCTGAATTAAAATTTCGAACACAGATTTGTATTGTGGGCTTCTATACATGCCCAGATATCGAATATGAGCCGGATCGGAGCACATTTTTGTCGCACCGCCATTTTGAATTCGCCATTTTGAATTTTTTTTATTACCAGCAATTGGCTCTTACCACCTTCTATCACATTTGTTAGAGCGCACTCCACCTATCTCCAATACTCGCCGAGATGTGGGCCTCCAAACACATTGTCCTATAAAAAATGTATGGCGGCCATCTTGGAAAATGGCGTAAATAAAATTTTTACCACAAATTCGCATTGTGGACTTCTTTACATGGCCAGATGTCGAATTTGAGCCAAATCGGAGCACCTTTTTGTCGAACCGCCATTTTAAATCCGCCATTTTGAAATATTTTTTTACCACCAATTGGCTCTTACCATCTTCTATCATATTTGTTTGAACGTGCTTCACCTATCTTCAATACTCGCCGAGACGTAGGCCTCGAAACACATTAGACGGTAGAAAATGTATGGCGGCCATATTGGAAAATGGTGGAATCAAAATTTTGACCACATATTATTCTTAGGAACTACCAGACATGGAAGTGTTTAAAATTTCAGCCGGATCGGAGCACCTTTTTGTTGGGCCGCCATCTTGAATCGGCCATTTTGAAAAAATAATTTCGATAGCCAGTTAGACCCTGTCACCATCTACGATATTAGTTTGAACACGAGTCACCTATCTCCAATAGTTTCCGAGATGGAGGCTTTCAAAATTTGTATGGCGGCCATTTTGTTTTTCGAATTTTGAACTTTTTTCACTTTCCTTAAAAATTGCCCAGGGTGTGTATGAACATTTGTTTGGGCACTTTGAGCCTGGACGTATACTTTGGCCGGACGGCTAGGGTAGTACCTGATGCGGAGCACATTTCAAAGAGTTGAATAGTTTTTGACGTTCATATGACCGATATAACCATTACTCTCCTACATCACTTGTACCTGTCCACCCTTCTTCTGGGCGAAAAATGACTCCAAATGGCGAAAGTTTCACATGTATGGCGGCCATCTTGGAAAATGGCGGAATCAAAATTCTAACCCCAGATTTGTAACCTAAGCCCCAGTACGCGTCCGTATGCCAAATTTCGGCCGGATTGGACCACCTTTTTTTCGGGCCGCCATTTTGAGTCGGCCATCTTGAAAAAAATTTGTCACCGGCAGTTGACCCCCGCCGCCCTCTATGACATTTGGTCGAGCACCCCCCACCTACCTCTTGTAGTTTTCGAGATATAAAGCTCTGCAATTTGTATGGCGGCCATCTTGTTTTTACGAAATTCGAATTTTTTTCACTTCCGGTAGAAACTGACCAGGGTGGCGGCCATTTTTAGTAGGAACACCTTTCCGGTAGGTCTTATACTTTAGCCGCGCGCGTAGGCGTTTACCTGATGCAGTCCACTTTTCGAAGATTTCGGATTTTTCTGGTACTCACGGGACCGATCCGTCTACGAGTCTAGTACATTATTTTTACCCACCGGCACTCCTTCTGGGAGAACAATTATGTCAGTATCTAGATCAGTGGTAATCGAGCTATATATAATATAATATAGTTTTTTCTTTGTAGTGCCCCCTTTTTGTTCGCTGCAACCCAGAAAATTTCAGACAGTGCTTTCCTATTGAGAAAGATCTATTAACATAAGTCCCAACTTGATTACCATCCCCAAGCTCTGTAGGCATTCAAGCGATGAGGCAAACAACTCTTTAAAAACTTTTGAATATGGTATAACTTACTTTTAAAAGTATCTACAATATTTAAAATGCTTTCCCCTTGTGTCGCATAGCCTTTGGACACCCTGTATATGAAAATGAATGTGTTTGTCATATGCATTCCATTACTATTCTCCTGATTGCAATAAAATTTTAATGATTCATAATTATAATATCACGACTAACTGTCGTGACTGTGTCGTGGACATTTGTTTTATCGCCGAATGACTATCATGTCTACTAGCTGTTCCCACTAGATCGTGACGACAATTTATCGGTTCACGGCAGCCGCCTTGTCGTTCGCACGATACAAATCGTTTGAAGCTGCGATTATTTGTCGCCACATTTTTATCGTGACGTATTTGTCGTCACTCGACTGTCGTTTTAGCTCTTCCCATTGTCACGACAGTCGTTGTAACATTGTGAAAGTCGTGAACGACAGTTAATCGTGTTGTTCTATGTGTGAACAACTTCATTTCAACATACAAACCACGACGCTTTAAACTGCACGACTATCTGTCGTCACTACGTAATGGGAACCCGCCCTTAGGAGAATATTAAGGCCTAAATATGATCTGATTGCAATAAATAGAACAATAACTACAGTAAAATGCTTAATAGGCGTGCCACATCGAGTATATAACCAGAAATAGAGACGAAATAAGGGCCATACATTACTGGTAACTCAGTCAAATGGTACTGATATAACTTTTAAATATCAACTCTCGTTTGCGCTGAAATCACAAATTAAAAAGCTGAAATAGTAAAGCGCCAACAACTGACCTGTGTGTACTTCTCCGTATAGTCCAAAAATGTTCTGTGTTTATTGTAATAAAGATAATATATGTAAAAATGGCGTGCTGTTCCATTCGGTGGTGTGGGGAAAAACAGCAAAACGTCTAATTACGAAACAAACGGAATCAAATTTCATCGGTAATTAAATATGTAATTTTGCAATTTTCGTCCATTATAGCAAAGGTCAAGTTGACTGGTCGATTTGAAGTGAAACAATTGACGACACCCGTCAATTGTTTCGAATTCGAGCTGGCCAATCGGAGCACAGTTGTCACAGTAATGATATGGAAGAATAGTTTTCAAACAAATTAAAAAATATTTCGTCTCTATTTCTGGTTATATAGGTACTCGATAGCGTGGTACGTGTGCCAATTGTAGGCGGAGTTCCGCATACTTGAGGTCAGTTCGCCATTTTCGCTGTATATGTTATGGTCGTGTGAATCTCGCACAAAGGCAGTAATGTGAGCATTACTCCTTTACAGGCTTGAAAGGATAAGTGTGCTTTTGAAATTAAAGGCAGGGTGACACGCACAGTGGCAGTGCCACTGGTGCAACTGTTATGGACAGACGTGTCGCTTAACAGCAGGCGCACGACTTAGTCGTCCCGTCACTTGATACTGTAAAAAAAGTTTAAATATCACAAAACTTGCTATAATAGATATTGAACGTTTAATGATAATTGCCTAATTAATTTGAAAAAACAAACCATGATTCCAAAGCCAGGACAAATACTTTAGTTCTTCGATACTGTTGGTCTGACAATGCTTCTGATTTACGCTTTTATTTACATTTTTTATTTGTATCATAGCGTATCCGGTCTAATCGGTTACGTCGTCTACGCGCCCGCCGTCGTAGCTCCCCCATGCCCTCGCAGGGAGAATGTCCTGTGTGCAACGCTACTCTGCCGATGTCCAAACTCCAACGGCACGCGTTGCGTTGCCTGAAGAGAACTGGGGCACAGATGGATGAAGATGTGCCAGACACCAGCTCCGAAGATGGCAGTATCGACGTGGAGGTATATTTCAATGTTTAGTATTGATATAGCAGTAATGTGAAAGGGTAATAATATTTTTTTTTTAAAACACTCACTCCGAAAGTTTGTGTGATTACTTCAATTTACCAAGTTTTATTGAAACTGGATTCATGTCCTAGTTTGCCACCCTTAGAGGTGGCACATTTTCTTCAAATTTAAATAGAACCAAGAATCATCAATATCGGTTCACAAATTTGAGAACATCCTCCTTTTTTGAAACTGTAAATGGCCCTAACCGCACATTTCTGCAGGACAAAGATTCTATTAATATCGGTCGATGATGATGACGTGTTGTTTGTGTTCAGAATGACGAACCATCAGCTGGTGGGTTCGGTGCAGAGTACCAGTGGTGTGGTGAATGGAGAATTCGGGCCACAGCCCTACAAGACTCCGAAGCTAGGGCTGCCACTTGCGTTAGACGAGCTTCCAATGATCAAGCACTAGTAAGTTACCAGTCTTTTCTTTGTAGTTTAATGCACTCACTACCGTCATTGAGCAGGTTTTTGGATTCTGGTGGTGATGATGTGCACTTTTTTTTTCTTTATTAGTTCACCAACAACAGCTTTCAATCCAATGGAACAATAAACATTTTTGACGTAACTTCACTTATGCCATTCTTCCATGAGGAGTGCGAATTGATGAATATTATAGTAGTAAAACATCATGGTTATCAGTAAAATAAATATTAATTACACTTTTTTTTATTCCAGGTGGTGGACGGTGACGAAGATACTGAGCTATATGGTCCACCTCAATATTCTCCAACGCGGATAGCACCTGAAGTTAGTACAGTCATGTGTATTTTATTTAATAATAACCATTTATTTCAGTCAGTGGACCATATTAAAAGAATACATTACAATTCAATACAATTCATACTTTTAAAAACATTTAATAACTTTAAAAAATAATAATAAAAATGTCACATAAAAAATAAGTAAAATAAAAAAAGGAATAATAATAAGATAAGATAAAATAACATTAATTCAAAGACAAGCTCATCCTATGTGGCGATTTCGAGCCAACGGTTCGCCACATAGTATATATATATACAGTGGTGGACACATAATTAAAGACATTTGGAGAATATTATTTTTTCAAAGTTTACTTATCCTATATTTTTTTATTATAATGCAATAGGAGCTTGCAATATTATTTAAATTATTCTAACGGGTATCGTGAAATGTTTGAAATGAAATAAAGAGAACGAAGATGTCGTATTTTAAATTTTTATTAAGTTTCTTTAATTACACCGTTATAAACTAATACAAAAGCTTGGCCAACTAATTAAAGACACACAAATCATGTAACTGCAAAAAAAATATTACAAATGTTAAAAAGAATTTGAGTATAAAATTAGTTTCAGATGTATAATAAGAAAATAAAAGCACGTTGTTAATATTTTGTCGCATGTCCTTTAGCAGCAATGACGGCCCGACACCGCCTCGGCATAGAAGCAATCAAATTATTGCAAGTATCAATCGAAATCTGTTCCCATGCCTCTTTAAATGCCGTGTATAGTTGATGCACGTTACTTGTACGTTTTTTTGCAACCATTTTCTTCACACGGGACCACAAGTTTTCGATCGGGTTAATGTCAGGACTATACGGTGGCCAATCCAAAACTGTTACTGATTGGCTTCTAAGAAATTCTTTGACCACTGCTGAAGTGTGTTTGGGATCATTATCATGTTGAAAAGTGCATATCACCGGCAAATGATCCTCGGCATAAGGTAACATGGTGTTTTCTAAAATATTTTTATATTGAAATTTATCCATGTTACCTTCTATTTTTTTAATAGGTCCCACACCGTGACCAGAAAAACATCCCCAAACTTTGATATTACCCCCTCCATGTTTAACAGTTTTTTTTGTGTATTTTGGATCCATTTCTTTTTTTGAAGGACGCCTCACGTAAACTTTTCCATCAGAGTTAACCATATTTATTTTAGTTTCGTCAGAATAAAAGCACATTTTTCCACTGTCGCTCTGTCCAATGTGCATATTTTTTGGCAAACAGCAATCTGGTTTTGATGTTTTCTTTCTTCAAAAGGGGTACCTTCCGAGAAATTCTTCCAAACAAGTTTGCCTCACATAATCGCCATCTCACCGTTCTTGCAGACACTCCTTTAGATTCCTCTGCACCAAATACTTCCAAGCGAATGACTTCTGATCCTTTGAAAGGGTCTTTTTTAGCCAACAATTCTATTCTTGTGTCCTCTCGCTGGGTTGTTTTTCGCGGTCTAGGTTTCCTAGGCACATTTTCCGTAGTGTTAAATTTCTTAAAATGCCGGATAGCGTTCATTACCATATCTTTCGAGCATCGCAAGTGTTCTGCAATTTTCCTATATGACCACCCTTTTTCATAAAAAATCAGAATTATCTTCCTTGTGGAAGGATCGCAACTTTTGCTTTTTCCCATAATATTTCAATTTAAATTTCACAATAAACTTAGAGCACGGCTAAAACTGAGTGAGATTTTGCGTATCACGAAAATTCGCTCAATATTAGAAAAAATCAGTGCTCTTTTTTATTTTTTATTTCAAGTTTAGAACACGAAATACGCACTGTCTTTAATTAGATGGCCAGCAGCTAATGTATCGAAAAAGTTTGAATGATATTTGAAACAGGAACTATGTAAACTCTTTTTAGTTAAACTTTGATACTGTTCTCATTTAAAAAAATATATGATGTCAGTGTATGTAAAATGACTATTAAAATGGAATTGATACCTATCTTGGGTCTCTAAATATCATTTAATTTGTTGTATGTGGTCAACATCAAGGGTGTCTTTAATTATGTGACCACCACTGTATATATATAAATGCCAATCGAGAGATCCTATTGTCATAATTAAACATTATCATATCACATTTTGC